TATGTCGTATGAGTAAAATGACAAAATAGAACAAGTTAAATCACTAATTTAATTAATGATGCAGTTATGAAGGATTTTGATTATTTTTCAAAAAGTTGTAGGAAAAGATAAAGTTATTGTACCGCTTTTTATATAAACATTATTTTGAACGAAAATAATTCATTTACATAAGATTTGCCGTTTTACTACAAATTGATGGTTTTGTAAAAGTCGAAATGTTTGTTATGTTGTATATGTTACGTTGAGAATATTAATTTTCAAGTAATTTAATGATAATATACTATACATATATTATCGTCAACAATTAAAGTTCCTTAGTAAAAGTGTTTATCTAGTTTAATACTACTAGATTTATCCTAGATTAAACATTTAAAGAATACATATATTTATACGAGGTGTAACCAAAATGCTTGTCCAAACTTGAATAACAGATTCTATTTCACAAATTCCTGGTGCAAAATGACATTCGAGCTGAACTTGGTAAATATAAAGATCACATTATGAACTGAGATCACATGAGCAACCATTGAGATTGATGTTTAGAATATGGACAAAAATAAAAAATATGTTTAATGCATGCGCAGAACATACTTGTAATTAGTGCCTTAGTTTCTTCAAAATCGCAATGTTAGCATAAATCATGATAAGGGAGGTCAATGAACTCCAAACAGCATTACATCATTCTAATGCGGTATTGCATCATTCGATTTAGGTTCGATCAGCACCGCATTGAAATTGATGGTAGATTTAAAATATGTCAAATATATTTAAAAAAATGGTTGCATAGTAGATCTCGGGATGATGGGGATTGGCGGTAAATTCAAAAACTGAAATAATAGAAATAATATATATGTGACAAAATATATATGTAGAACACGTAATTAATTACTTTAAAATTAATAAGTCAACACAAATCATACTTATAAGGAAGGTTAATGAACTCCAATTCAAATCAAAATTTAGAAGTATTATGGCTATCATATGAAAAAATTCAACATGATTATCGATCTACCTAATAATAAACTGATAGAACAAAATTTAATATTCCCGGCTTCATTATCGTGTTGGTACCTGACTTTGAACACGCCAACGAAATATTATTTTACTATTCTATAGCATTTATCATAAAAACTCTTGGAAATCCAGCAAGCAATATCCAGGAACAACTCTTCTCGCACATACGTCCCAGAAATAATCGTATTGTATACGGGGTTCTTATTATCCGTTACTGTTTGCAAGGGATAATAGTCCCCAGCACTTTCTGATGCATAATATCGCATAAGTTCTTTCGATCTTTTATTACGTAGCCAATATAGCGCTGCAAGTAGATGGCGCGGGTATTGTCTATCTAATAAAAATTTATTTACTAGAAGAATACTATGCTATTTAGGAAATTAGTTTAATAGAATTGGCGGTAAATCCAAAATTAATTGTTAACACAAGAAATAAAATATATGTAACATTAAAATTTAAATGCTTGCCTAGTAGATCTCGGCATGAGGGGATTGGCGGTAAATTCAAAAACTAAAATAATAGAAATAAGATATATGTGAGAAAATATATGTGCAGAACATGTAATTAATTACTTTAAAACCAATTAGTCAACACAAATCGTACCTATAAGGGAGGCCAATGAACTCCAAACAGCATTACATCGTTCTTATTCGGAATTGCATCAGTATCAGCATATGAGTGAAATTAGCGGAAAATTTAAAACTAAAGATGACTAATGGAAATAGCATATATATTGAAATTGTAACCCATGCGTATAAGCATTTGATTAGACGGGACTGGCGGTAAGTTCAAAATTATAAATTGTAACGGTTCAGGGCGAAATATTTGGGTTTCGCTCGTTCACCTTGTACTTTGCTTTGCTTCCCCATTACATTAAAATTTATTTTTGGTTAATTGTAACATAAATATTGTATAGTTTACTAACCTATTAGAAATATATATCAGGATCAAATTTTCAAATAAAAGGGTGAATATAATCAGGTTAGGACCAGGACATATGATTGCAGCCAATTTGTAAACATTGTTTTTGTGTAGGCCTTGACATTCAGGTTATTTTAGTAAAATATTAAATTTAACTAGGAGTTTTTTTGTCGCTCCAGAGAAAAAAAGAGTAACCATTTTGAAACAGGCATTTTGCCCATGTTTGTGTGAGAGTGAAGACCTTATGTGATCTGACGTAAGCTAGTTTGAATTTTGAAAATTAAAATAGGATCTAAAACTGACTGGTACTGGCCCTAGCTTAACCTTAACTAACAAATATTTAAGAAATCATCGGGGCTGAACGGCAGATCAAGCTCTCGGTGGATCATATCGGCTAGCACGATTTCAGTACCATTTAATTGGTAAACTCCAGGACATCCGTCATCTGGTGGCATTTTATAAGAAGGGCAAGTCCACCCGTCTGTTAGTCATACCTGCGGGCACGTTCCGTTCCTTGTCAAATCGACTGGTAAGCTCCGAGACCTAGAGCACTTGTGTCATTGCACGAATTCAAAAACAACAAAAGTTCAGCATATTACCTGGGCTGAATGTCAACTTCCACGATCCATTAGTCGTGTCGGT